GGGGGGGGGGGGGGAAACCATGTGGGGGAGAGAAAAGGAGGGGGGGCAGGGAGAGAGAGACGGAGAGAGAGAGAGAAGAGACAAAGGGAACGTGGATCACACAGAGGGCACGATGAACGAAATACAACGTTTACGGGAACGAAAGAATACCAAGCCTTCGCGGCGATGATACCCAAGGAGGAGAGGAAGAAGACTACCTACCGCGGTCGTCACGTGCTGACGAGAAAACCTCTTCCTCTTGGCGGCCGTGATCGACCGAAGATAATGTCGTCCATGCCCCGCTTCTGTTGAAGTTCTTCTCATGGATCCCTACCCCCGACCCCCCCTGATATCCTCATTTACCTGCCTTCCTCCTCCGTCTGCCTGGCCCTAGCTGCTCTCAACCGAGCTGAGAGGCCTCCGTCACCAGTCGGGCCAACACCAGCAGCACCAGCACCAGGAGGAGGGGCGTCCGGCGAGCGGGAGCGGGGCCGCGGCGGCGGCGGTGGTGGTGGTGGCCGGCAGCGTGGACGAGGTCACCGTGTCGAAGAGGAGGGCCAAGGTGGGAAGGAAGGGGCTGGAGAAGAGGCAAGGCTAATCCCCGACAACACTGATGAGTGACAATATACTGTACTTACAACTACCAGACGTTTCCCGGGGGACTATTTTCCCCCGCCACGCAACGCTCGCTCGTGCGATGGAGGTATGCGGACAGATATTGTTCAGAAACTAACTAGGACGAACCCTTCACGTTTGTTTCTGTTGAGTTTCTGTCTGCTCTTCCCGTGTCTGCTTGTTTGTCTACCCGTCCCTGGCCCGTGGAGGTCGGCATGTTGAAGCAACAGCTGAGGAGTGTCCTGGAAGGCACGCGTCAGCTAGAGGCAGGAGTGGTCGCTTGCGAAGGTGCTGAACTCGAAAATTTTGTCGTGTGTGGATGGAGGCCGCCAACTCTCACCGCTTGACTTACTGTACAACAGACGTCGTACAAATGCATCCACGGGAATGCTGTGACCTTTGAGACCTCTGACGTAGAGACGTCGGCAGCCGCAACAGGAAGGACGTCGATCCCGACCGCCAAATTCTTTCGTGTTTTCATGCCGTTCTCTCTATCGTGTGGCATGAGGGACGGACCCGCGCGTATTCACTTAAACACGCTGCAACAGCAGTGCTTTCGTAAAGTCTCCTTCTTCCGGATGGATTATGTCTCCAATAGATGATGATGTCATCACCGTCCAAGGGCAATAGACTCCCTTCTCACACCTGACCATCATATTTTACCCCAACCCATTGCTGTCAGCTCAATGTATCCCAAAACCCTACTGCTGTATTCCCCGGGTCCCCAAACACGGCGCAACGGGGTCTGTCTGTCCTTGCGGCAGGCCGCATGCACGAAGCAAACGAGGCTTGCTACGCTTCCGTTCGGGGGGAGCTACGGTCCCTGTTCGGCGCGCTCTGCCACAACAAGAGCGCCGATCTCGTCATGGCCGGGCCGAAGGTGGGCCGCTATTATTCTACGTGATGTGGTCTACGTAGTGCCGAGGCGTCGTGCGGGGGGGGAGTGGCGCGGCGCGGTGAATGGGTCTGTCTGCGTGTCGATTCTGTGTCGCCTAAGAGGCGCACGAATGGTGGGGCTTCGGACGCTGGCTGGCTGGCTGGCTGGCTGGCTGGCTGGCTGGCTGGCTACAGCAGGACCGTAGCTTGTTCACTCAAAGCGGCAGCCCGGGCCCTTGTTTCCGTCACGCAGCAGTGGTTCCCACTATTTTCTTTGCTTCTGGTCGTTTGTTCATTCTTCTGTCCCCATCACTGGTTATGGCGTTGTTGTTCGCTTTCGTCGCAAAATTAAAGCTCGAGGACGGGATACGCCTAGTGGTCCGGAACGGCAACACTCAAGCAGTCGCCGCCGCAACTATTACTACCACAACGCCGTCATCGGCTGTGCCGGCTGTGGTAGAGCGTGCCCCACAGGAGTTGAGCGGAGGCCAGCAGGCGTTGCTGGGGCTAGCGCTCGTGTTGGCCCTGTCGTCGTATCAGGCGCCGCCGCTGTGCCTCCTCGACGAGGTGGACGCTGCCTTGGACGAGACCAATCAGGTGGCTGAAGGGGGCGGCAGGTCCACTACACGGCAACGAGTACAGCTAAAAAAAGCAGTAGGGAACAGTGGTAATCTTGACATCGGCGTGTGCATCGGTGTTGCCAGTGCGGCTGAAGACCTTGAGAGCCAGCCAGCCCCCTCCCCCCCCCCCCCCAACGCAGCTGTCATCCGTACGCAAGAAGTAAGCACAAGATGCCGAACACCCTTAGCAGGATGCAGCGCACCCTTCATGCGACTCGCCGAATATCTCACGGCGTTTCGCGCTTGGTGATGGGAGAGCCTGGTCCGGTGAGAACCCGGCGTGCTCCGTCCCGGCTTTGTAGGGATGCGAGGTCAATGGTCAAACGACTACGGCATGCACGACTATGAGTACACCCCTCCCATCCCCGTCCCCGGGTGTTGCGTATAGTGTGCAAATTTTGCGTGTCAAGCATCGTCGGAATTTTGCACAAGAGTAACAGTCTGAGCCTTGTTTGCCTCCATGCCCTTTGCCTCGTTGTCCGCGAAACAGGCGGCCGCGGCGCGCCTGGTGGCGCTGACCTTCCGGGAAGGGCAGGCGTTGTGCGTGTCTCACCACGCCGATTTCCACCGACAGAGTGGCCACTGCGTCGCCGTAGAGATGCGTGATGGAGTTTCCAGGGTGCAGACGCCATAGACAGAAATAGACTTAGTGCGTCGTTCGTTCGGTTGAGTATTGGGAAAAAACACACTGCTGTATGCAGTCTACCCACACGTGACGTGCGATTCGTTGGAAGTGAAAACGAAAACTGCAGGAAGGAGGAAAGGGAACGAAAAAAGAAATAGTCTTTGTCGGCTTACTCCCAGCAGCACGTGAGGAAACTTACTTGTCTTGTTCCTGCCTGTCGGTAGAAATAGACTGCGCATACATGTGAAGCAAGCAAGGTGCTCTAGACTGGTTGACACATGTAGATATCGATCGGGGGAAAAGGCACTTTGGGTGTCAATTTGATGGGACGAGTCGGTCGCGTTTTCTTTACACTTCGCGCGAAGGCGCGCATTTTTGTTGCGGAGTGTTCACGGCGGAGTACATGGGAGGTCGTTGTCATAGCTGACTACTGCTTGTATGTTCGAGAGCACACCGCGCGCTCACGTTGTTTGACGTTGGTCGTGCCCATGAAAAAAATTTAGTTGGTATGGTTCCAGCCGTGTAGAAATCAGTACAAAATCGTGCGTGTTTTCCATCAGGTTCCGTTGTGCTCTCTCTCGCCGGTGATGAGTATGTAGCAACGGACCAACGAAAGGAGTGCTTCCTTCCAAGAGAAGCTGCATGCATGCATCCAACTTGACGCACCCGTCCTCCATTTTTCAACGGTCGCCTCTATCTTGGGTGTAGCGAAACTCCGTGGTACGTATCATACAGCAGTTTTGGTTTGTTCTGGGCCGACACTACTGCTGCTGCTCTCGTGTCTCCGTGCTTTTGACACGAGTCGCATATATGAATGCTCGTTCGTACTTGCAGCCAGCCCCTGGGTTTGCAGGTATCATCACACCTGTGCGTACATAGCAGGTCAAGATCTCTCAGCGGCACGTTTCTTTTTCATTGAGAATGTGGTGTCAATTGCCTCGGGCATATTATGTACCAGTCTGTCCCGAGGATGTAGTACCGATTTGGACATCGGAAATATAGTTCCGGTTCGGACTATTGAAGCGCAGAGGGCTATTTTGGTGGTCGATATCGCTCTATCGCCGTCCACGGTCATTGCATGACGTGCGAAGCCACCCCCCCCCCAAAATAAAATGTCATGAGCTAACCGGGGATGCTGGATTATCATCCCCGGGATATCAGAGATATCCGGCAATGGCTCGAAACCCCGTTGTTGCTGCCCTTGAGCAGCTCGGCAACCATATGCCTTTTTTCTCCAAAGTTGTCAAATTCTTGCGTTTTGGTCTGCTGGCAGCGCTTTCCGCCGCAGACATGTTGGGTGGGTCCGCTGACACGTCCTCCAACCGGCAATTCCCGCCAAAGAGCTCAGTTTGGCTCGACTTGGCACGTGAACAGGGGTGTTGTGTGATCTGATTTTTTGAAAAGTACGTTTTCTGGCGTCTGCGCTGGAAAGAGTTCTGCGCAGCAAAAAAAAACGTTTCGGAAATTTCGGTCTGCTGCAAAAGTTGTGTTGCCGGATGTCCAAATCGGTACTATATCCCCGAACAGACTGGTACGCGTTTCCGTCCTACGCCACCGCACACGATTTTTCCTGGGGTATGATAAGTAGCTCACCACAAGCCGCGCTTCCGGTAAGCCAACACGTGAGGTCACGACTCTTATGCTTACACGAAGATACGTCATGGTCAGCGTGTCGGGATGTACAACGCGCTTCCATGTCGGGTGGAATCGCCGTACACCGCCTTTTTCGTGAACAGTCACGAAAAAGCATCGGAAAAGTCCGGTAAAAGTTCAACTTCCGATTTACTTGAACGTGTTGATGTCTTGGTATTTTTGTGATCCTCTGATCGTTTCGCTCTGACTTTTACTCCTCGACCCCGGCTAACTTAGCCAGACTCGCCCAACTGGAATCAACTCACACCGCAACCAACTACGGTGGCGGTCTACTTGAGCGCACTCGCGGACTAGCAGGGTTCCGTTTCAATCCAAGACGGTCTCATCGCTTCACAAACAAGAGGCATCACAGTCCCTTCACCAGGCATCAGACATCCGGGCAAAAAACTCGACGCACAAATCACGCACACGACACATGAAAAAAACATTTAAAACAATCTGTCTGTCATTACTACGCAAAGAAGGTCACGGGCAGGTCGCCCGCATCCCCCCGCCCCACAACAATCAAAAACCAAACGAGAGAAAAGAAGACACCCCACCCTCTACGTGCACACAACACAACATACCATACACCCCCCACGACACCACACGACGCCCCCTTCCTTTCCCCCCCTGGTGTTGTGCAATGTTTTTTCGTATCCCCGTGGTGAAATGTTAAAAAATGTCCTGTCGTCCCCGTCACAAAGCACATCTATCAGGTTAGATTTTACAACTCGTCATCTCCGAAGTCGAAGTCCTCCTCCGGGCCACCCTGAGGTGCCTGCTGGTACAAGTCCTTCATGATGGGGTTCGCGATCTGCTCCACCTCCTTCTTCTTGTCCTCCAAGTCCTCGAGCTCCGCGTCAGGGGTCTCGTCCAGCCAATCCAACGCCTCGTTGATGGTGGACTCGAGCTCCTGAAGCGAGCAGGCAGATGAGGTCACAAATGAATGAGTGACTAGGTTACGTTGCCGTCAACCAACGTTACCACTGATATTCGAGAGATACAATCCCCACTTTTTCAGTGTACTGTACGGCACCATCGAACACTTGTCATACATTTCTCAGGCCGCAGTGGACACTTGTTCCAGGAGGGAGACACGTGTTTCTATTCTGACAAGCAACCCAACAAGCATAAACGATAAAACATCCAAACCGCCCTTGTAAAAGCACAATAAAACATAAATATATTTGTACTCGTCGAAGTCGCTTACCTCCTTGTCGGCCTCGCTGATCTTGTCCGACACCCCCTTCTCCTCATCGTCCAGGAGGTTCTTCATGTTGTACAGGTACGACTCAAGAGAGTTTCTCGCGTCGATGCGGTCCTTCACCGCCTTGTCCTCCTCCGCGTACTCCTCCGCTTCTCGGACCATGCGCTCGATCTCCTCCTCCGACAGGCGCCCCTGTGCGATGCAACAAGCGAAGCGCGGAGGGGGGTCAGAATCATATCACACAGTTCCGCGTGTTCATCGTCTGTTTCGCGAACCTGTTGTACATACAAGGAAGCATGACCAACCAACACAAACCAGGACAGCCCATAAACATTCGGCAGCTTTCACACGCATGGTGAAACAACGTCACCAAAAAAAAGCACAAAACACAAGACCCGCTGCTGCGCGGGCTGGCTGCGAGACACGTCTCCGTCGTGATAACACACGCACCTTGTCTGCGGTGATGGTGATCTTCTCGGCCTTGCCGGTACCCTTGTCCGTGGCCGACACCTGGAGGATACCGTTGGCGTCGATCTCAAACGTGACCTCGATCTGCGGCACCCCTCGCGGCGCGGGCGGAAGGCCCGTCAGCTCGAACTTGCCCAGCACGTGGTTGTCCTTGGTCATGGACCGCTCACCCTCGAACACCTGGATCAGAACGGCGGGCTGGTTGTCCTGGTAGGTGGAGAACGTCTGAGCCTTCTTTGTTGGGATGACGGTGTTGCGGCTGATGATCTTGGTCATGACGCCGCCGACGGTCTCGATACCTTGGGAGAGCGGGGTCACGTCGAGCAGCAGAAGGTCCTTGGTCGCGTCCGAGGCCTCGCCCGACAGGATACCGCCCTGCACGGCCGCACCGTAGGCCACGGCCTCGTCGGGGTTGATGCCGCGGGACGGCTCCTTGCCCTCGTAGAAGTTCTTGAGGAGTTCCTGCACCTTGGGGATGCGGGTAGACCCGCCCACCAGCACGATCTCGTCCACCTCCGACAGCTTGAGGTCCGCATCCTTCATCACCTTCTGCACGGGCCCCAGGGTCTTTTTGAAGAGGTCGATGTTGAGCTCCTCGAAACGAGCGCGGGTCAGCGTCTCCGAGAAGTCCTCGCCGTCCACGAGAGACTCGATCTCCACGCGGGCCTGGTGCTGGGTGGACAGCACACGCTTCACGCGCTCCACCTCGCGGCGCAGCTTCTGTAGTGCGCGGTTGTCGTTCGAGATGTCGGCGCCGTTCTTCTTCTTGAGCATCTTCAGGAAGTACTGCATCACGCGCTGATCGAAGTCCTCTCCGCCCAAGTGGGTGTCACCGTTCGTTGCCAGTACCTGAATGGTGTGGAATTTTCGAAACAGGAGGGGCCGGGCTTGGACATTTGTTTTGGCAGTAATGATCGACCAGCTGCGAGCAAGCTGCTGTGTGTGGTGGCGCTTTTCGTCACGATTTGTCTAGTCATATGTGAACAAGTTGTTGGCGTTGCACGTCTCTGGAGGATAAAAAAAAGTCACTACCATGCATCCTTCCGTAGTCAGGAATAGCGCTGGCACCGCACCAACACCGCAAAAACACGTCGTCCTGCACCACAAAGCAAACGACAGCAAACACGTACGGTCATGGACTCACCTCGAAGACACCGTTGTCGATGGTGAGGAGGGTAACATCGAAGGTTCCGCCCCCCAAGTCGAAGACGAGGACGTTCTGCTCTCCCTTCTTGTCGAGGCCGTAGGCGATGGCGGCGGCGGTGGGCTCGTTGATGATGCGTTTCACCGACATGCCCGAGATGGTACCGGCGTCCTGTGAGGCAGACCCCAAGATGGCGTCGTGGTAGGCCGCGAGTTAGTTCCATCATGGAATATTACAGTAGAAGTGAGTGCTTGTGGGTGCTCGGTAGGCAGATGCCTTCCCGCCGCTAAATAGATTGTGTGACATCAACAGCAGTTAGTGCGTCTGGTACGAAGGATGCTTGCATACGATGCGTGCAGGTTTCCCGCGACTTCAGCGAGCCTACATTCTAAGATGAACACGTACAAAAAGACTTTGGCAATGGTTTCGAGGATGCCAAACAAGAAAATTTCGCGAGAACCAGCTGAACAGCAGTCGATGGTTACCGAACACTGTAACGAGACCCTACTGCTTCCTAGACGAATGATAGATGAATTCTGTAAATGCGGGAAAATCGCCCGTTGAACGAAAACTATTCACACCAAGCCGTGACCTTCCGCCCCATGAAACACGGGACTAGTGCTCAATTGGCATTCCACTCACTTACCTGTACATACACACACAAATCGGAGGCTTCATTCAAAACGTCATCTGAACACATACTGCAAGCCCGAAAATACGCCTCCGTTCTACACACCTTGGTGGCTTGGCGCTGGGCGTCGTTGAAGTAGGCCGGCACGGTCACGACGGCATTCGCAACCTCCTTGCCGAGAAACGCCTCCGCGATCTCCTTCATCTTCACCAGCACCATGGCAGAGATCTCCTCGGGGGCGAAGGTCTTCTTCGATCCCTTCACTTCAACCTGTGTCCCATGCCCGCAGCGGTACCACAAACGGACACAGCAGCAGTAGCAGTAGCATCGTTGTGTCAGGAGGATATGTACAAGATGCACGCACGATGCCCATAGATCATCACACTTCATAGTGACAAGCCGAGTTGCTCTCGGATAGAACGGAAAACCAACAGCGCGACAAC